CCCCCCCCCCCCCCCCATCTACCTATCCCCGCAGGTTTGTGAATTTTTATCATTTTTTTGGTTTTTGGCTCAACAATTTTCATGCCCATTAAAGAACTCATTTCTGTGGGGATTTTTCTGAAAAACGTTGATTAAAGGCACAAAAAATGTAAAATTTAAGTTACCATGGACTCTTAAGCTAAGGAAATAACTCATCTTCGGCGGCCATGTTCTCACTAATTTTACCTTTGAAAACAGGTGACCCCCACCTTTTTAATTCGCAAATATCTCGACTTGTATTCAAGATAAATGGATATTATTTTCATCCAAATAAAGACAAGTGAACAAGCTTTAAGATGATACCAATAACTGTACATGCACAAAAATTGACGAGAGCCTGATTCCACCACGATGCCTCACATTGATTTATTGATAGTCCACCACTGACGCTGTTCCAAGTCTGAATAGAATCCAAAACAATAAGCACACAATGCACCTAACACACACACACACACACACACACACACACACACACACACACACACACACACACACACACACACACGCTCTGAATAAAGCAAGCACACAACAATTTGCGATCGCAATCAACCTCTCTCTCTTCTTCGCACTTCTCAGAGCACTGGACCAAACCGAACCGATCTTGCCAATGGGCTCTTGGTATATATAAGCAAACATCGTTCTTACCAAGATAGTTCACTCGACCAAAAAAGTGGCTGCAGAAGTCTGCGCATTGCTTCAGGTGGCGCTGCAGTCTTTGCTTTGAAGCTCTCTTTCGTTTCTCCAGAAGAAGAATAGGAAGAGCACAGTATGTTAGTTTCGATTTTATTGTTTTTCACAAAGGTAGGGTAACTCGGTTCGCAAAGTCCGCACTTTTTCGAAGAGGGCCCCATTGGATTTTGAGGACATTTTTTTAATTGGCTCAAAGAGAGGAGTGAACCATCTTGTTATATACGATCTTTGGTGTAAGTTTGCTGGTACAGAAGCCAGACCTCGTAGCCTTGGAAAACGCAAGTTATGCTTCACTGGGTGGGAATGGGTACCCTGATATAGACAGCGAAAGATCTCGTCATTTTCTATGTGTTTGAGCGCGTGTTATCTGTAACTTGTACTGTATGCTTCTCGGAAAGCCTCAAACAAAATGTTTCGGAGTGTTCTAGCGTCTGCTCGGGGTAGTAATGGTTGTAAATCGCATAGAGCATGAAGCAGAGTATTCAAAGAATTAAGTGGCAGGACAGAATAAGAAATGAAGAACTGTGGGAAAGGACAGGACAAAAGGATATAGAAGTAGAAATAAGACTAAGAAAGTGGTGATGGATGGGACACACCTTAAGAAAGCCCAGCGGAAACATCACAAGAGAGTCACTGCAGTGGAACCCACAAGGAGCACGAGGCAGGGGTAGGTCACGGGAAACATGGAGGAGATGCGTGGAAAGGGACATGAGGGGAAATAATGAAGCTCACTTGGAACGAGCTTGGAAGGATGGCTCAGGAAAGAGATAAATGGAAGGAGCTTGTATGCGGCCTATACCCTGCCAGGGGTGAAAGGCATTGATGATGATGATGATGATGCAGATGAGCGTGGATACGCACTATAATATGTAAATGCTATTGTTATCATAATGTGTTTGTACATGTAATATGACTTCAGAATATTAAATGTTAGTGAATTCAGTTCAGGGCCACGTGTTATAATTCTTCGGGCTCCACTTATCACTCCGTCTTGTAATCATCAAACACGAAGTGTTTTTGTATTTTTATAGGTTTGGCCTCATCTCTGTCTTTCTCCCTCCATCCATTTCTCCCTCTATTTCTATCTCGATGGATTACATAGCAACAAGAAAATACAACAACAGCAGCAGCAGCAGCATCATCATCATCAGCAACAGCAACAACAGCGACCAAAACAATAATAACAACAACAACAACAACAACAACAACAACAACAACAACAACAACAACAACAACAACAACAACAATAACAACAACAACAACAACAACAACAGCAAGAACAATATCAGCAAAAACCCAAAGGACCAAAAGACACGGGATTCTAGATGACCTACACATTCATTTCAATATATTAAAACAGTACAATCTTACGTCTATTCATCAACAAAAACAAAAACAAAACTAAAACTAAAAGAAAAAACAACAACAACAACAACAACAAAACTAGGCCTAAAAGAAAAACAAAAAATAAACAACAAACAATAATTCTTAAACTGATTGTTCAACACTTGTAATATTTATTTGAAAACATACTTCTGTGAGAATTTTACTGGAAGAGCGTTGATCAAAGGCGCAAAGATGCAAATTTGCAGATTTCAGGGATACTCCCCCGCCAGCACAGATCCGGGGCACCAGTTGGGTACCATATCGGGCTGTCCATATCTCCTGGTATTTCAACATTTTTACCTTGATACCACAACGTGCCCAGTGGGAAGCTTTGGTGGAAGTCATCATTCTTGGTGGCCATTTTCTAGCTTCTGACGCCAGGTGACCTCCCCACCCCCACCCCCCACCCCCTAACTCCCCCCTCCCACACACACACACACACTTTATTCAATAGCAAATATCTCGACTTTAATTCAAGAGGAGGGTATTTGTGAGGCAAGCTGACAAAATGAGTTACTTTTCGAAATCCGCAATAAATGGAAATGTCGGCCGAAAATAGAAACATAATAATATGTGAGGCAGCGTGGCGGAATTAGGATGTCGTCAATTTTTGGGCACATAGAGTTATTGGTATCGTCTTAAAGCTTGTTCACTTGTCTTTATTATGTGAGGCAGCGTGGCGGAATTAGGATGTCGTCAATTTGGGGGCACATAGAGTTATTGGTATCATCTTAAAGCTTGTTCACTTGTTTTTATTTGGATGAAAAAAATATCTATTTATCTTGAATACAAGTCGAGATATTTGCTAAAGAAGGAGGAGGGGGTCACCTGCTTTCGGAGGCAAAATTAGTGAAAAAATGGCCGCCAAAGATGAGTTATTTCCTTATATTAAAAGTTCATGGTAACTGAGAAATTACATCTTTTGTGCCTTTAATCAACGTTTTTCAGAAAAAATCCACACAAAAATGAATTCTTTAATGGGCATGAAAGGTATTGAGCCCAAAAACAAAAATCCGATAAAAATCCATAAACCTGTGGAAAAATGCAAGTTTCTTCACTTTGATTATTTTGACGAGAGCCTGATTCCACCACGCTGCCTCACATATGACAACCCTAGCTCAATGTTGAGGGCACTGCACAGTGGAGACCAGCAATGGCATATATTTTGTGAAATTGTTTTGTATTTGTGTGATATTTTAAAGTATTTATTTTATGTAGATCTATGCATTTATTTAAATATTTATAATTATGTTCTCATGTATGTATGTTTGCCATTGTAACCCAAATTTCCCAACGATGATCAATTAAAAGGTAATTTATTTATTATTTGAAGGTATTTTTTTAATCTAGAAAGACGCAATTACTTAGGGAAGGAAAGCCCTTTAGACTGGCACTACGGCCAGCCGTTAGATGACATAGCATCAATTTTAAAAATGCCCAAAGACACACCAAATAACATTACAAGGCAAAAACAGTAAAAAAAAAAAACAACAACAACAACAACAACAACAACCCAACAAAAGCAACAACAACAACAACAACAACTGCAACTAAAACCTCTCCAAATGAGATATCAGAAGCAACAAACCAAAAAAAGACAGGCTCAAAAATGTCCAAAATAAAACAGAAACCTCAACAAAAACATGTTTTAACCCCCCCCCCTCCCCCATCAAATAAGACAGCAAAAAAAAAAACCCAAACCCCCCCCCCCCCCCCCATCAAAAAAAAAAAAAAAAAAAAAAAAAAAAAAAAAAACCATATCCAAAAACACATCAGATCTGGTTTTAGTAGTAAGAGTTTTCCAGCACTTGCAACACAATAAGGCCATAATTATTATAAGTGCCGACGATTAGAGGAGTTAAAAGAAGGGGTAGGTATGACGACGCTACATGTTTGATAGCAAAGGAGCCAACCTCAACAGAGCACTCGAAAACCACTCATTAATCATCATCATCATCATCATCATCATCATCATCCAGTGCCAGATCTGCAACAGACATCGGCGATCATCGTTTTCCATTCATTCCTTTGCTCGGATGCTCTCAAAAAAAGCTACGTTTCCCTGATCTTTCCCTGTTACCCATTTGTTTAGGTTCCCTAAGTATGTAGTTCTGGGCCTACCCCTGCCTCGCTTGCCCCTCAATTTTGCATTTATCGTTTCCTGATTGTTTTTAACATTGAGCGTCCCACGTGGGCTTCATCAAGCACTACCTCATTTGATTTCTTTTCCTTCCACAATACTCTCACCAGTCTCCTAAGAAACCACATTTCTGTTGCTTCTATTTTGTTTTCACTGTCTTTAGTGATTGTCCAGCATTCACAGCCATATAGAAGGGTTGAGCAAACATAGCATTTCAGGACTTTCATTTTGTTGAAATGTTTCAATTTTTCAGGATTGGGTTCATTTTTATTGAAACTAGCCTTAGCCATTGCAGTTTTCCTTTTTATTTGTGTGGAAC